TGAACTATTTTGTTTGGATATTTAATATCGAAACTTTTGTGAATTTCTTTCCCTATAATCCAAAGTAGAATATAGTATCTCAATTTTTTGAAAAATCCATAATTCTTGGAATTCAATCTAGAGAAAAAATAATGAATACACTTATGGGATACCAGAAATAGTCATTATCTACTACTCACTTAAGAAGACTTGAGGATGAAGCTATGAAAAGATGAAAGTACTTTAATTAATAAAAATAACAACTTGCCTTCATTATTTTACAAAATAACATTTTAGGAAATCTTTACAATCTCTAAATCATGTAAGTAGTATATTGCAATTTAATTCATTATTAAATAAAAAGTTAAGTTAGTTTCAAGCTTTTTAAATAGATATATTTGTATGTGAAGATTTAAAGGTAAGAAGCAAAAGTAAGTTAAAAAAGGAAAAATATGATATCAAACAGAATTTTAATTGATAAGTATTAAATCATTATATTGAAAAATGAAATCAGAAAGGAATTTTAGTGAATTGGCCATATTTAATCAAATAAAATTGTAATATAAACAGGTAAATATCACTTAATATAATGTTAAGGGATAATAGAAATTTAATCGAATTATTCTTACAGTTTAAAAATAAACATTAGAAGAAAAAAGTTCGAAATTTTTAACCAAGAAAAATACCAAAATTGTCCATTTAATGATGTAATGAATTCATCTAGGTTTAAAACAAATACACGCGATATATTTATTCTGGTTGGCGTTGTAAAAAAATTAAAATACATAGAAGCATAAATAGGATTACATAAGTTTTTTTGATTTCAAGAATTTAAATATTTGATTCATTGAGAAGATATCATTCTTTTAACATTTATTCAGAAAATAGATTCATTATAAAAACATTTATAACTTATCTTTTGTTCATAATCCAATTTTATATAATGTACAGCTTCTCCCTAAAGTTATATCCAGTTACCTTTTAACATTAACTTTTGTTCACCATTACATAGTCTATTGCTACTTAAAATTAATTAATAGTAGCAATCTCACAATTATTTGCATTTTGAACTAATCATTTCTCTATTAGAGTGTAATGAATGCAATAAGATCAATTTTTAACAACATTTGTTGTCAATTATCATCAACTAAATGATAAACAGACTATTAACTATGAAATTTTATTTTTTGTATAATCAAAAAATTAAAAATTTTATGCAAAACTGAAACTGAACATTCCAACAAAGACATCTAAATTAGGTATATTAATTTCAAACAACAAATTTTTTCTTTCTATTTGTATCTTTGGAGCATATTCTCCTTGTAAATGGTAATCTAATGTAAATAGTTATATAGGAGATGATACATTATCATCTTTTATATTCTCATAAACTCATGATCAAGTTTATCCATAGAAGGATAAATCTATGCTATTTACAAAAAGATTGGGCCTTCATATGGAAATTATAATGATATTGATATTAAAGGAGATTTTATTGATGGTCATTCTAGTTTAGGTTAAGATTATTAATTTCACTAATAAAGAGTAAATAAAGCACTTCATTTGTATGGATAAGAAAAGCTTGAAATATAAGAATGTGAAATATATCAATTAACATTGAATTGATAAATAAATAGAGATAAAATAATATAAAGCCTTTATTAATATGGTTATCAAGAGATATGAAGACTTAAAATAAGTCATTCTTAAAATCATGAATATTTTTCATAATTTTCCCCTTCTTTCTCAGTTGCTCCATTATCAAGTTTTTATTGTTAAGAATTCACAGTTTTGTTAAGCAAATTTCTTAAAAATATCATATTTTATCGGTTTCTCTTCATATCTTAAAACTTTAATATTAACTGTTGAAATCAAAATAGGAAGGTTAAAATAACAGCATAAACTATTCAAATTCTTCAT